ATGGGGGGTCCCATTTCGCGGTGTGGCCACCGCACCGCTTCGGGGCCCCCGAGAGCCGAGGGTGAGGCCAGCCTCCCCGCGGGGGCGACCCAGGGCGAGCGGCGCCCAGGGAGGACGCGCCGCGCGGCTCCGCGCGGCTCGAGGCACGCCGCGCGGTCCTTCGCGCCCAGCCGCAAGAGAGCGCGCGAACCACACCGCGCGCGCGCGGCAGCGCCCGTCACCTCCCGCCCTCCGGCCGCAGCGGGTCCCCGAGGCGCTGCTCGTCGTCCGGCCGCCGCGGGGAGTGCTCCGCGCGGGGCGCGGGATGGCCTCCCCTCCCGTCCGCCCACGGCGCCCGGGGGGCCGAGGGCGTAGGCCCGCGCCCTAGGGCGACGCAATCTATACATATCCACTGCTCCCTGGCCAGGCCCATCCTGAACACAGCAGCTGTGTATACGCCACGCCCTCCTGGTTTGGCCAGGAGGGCGTATACACAGCTCCTGGGTTCAGGAAGGGCCTGGCCAGGGAGCAGTGGATATGTATAGACTTCGTCCCCCGACGCCCGCTGCCCTCGCCGTCCCCCTGCAGAGAGAGGGTCCGCTGCAGGAAGGGCTTTAAGTCTGGACGGGGTGAGTCCGGAGGAAAACCGAGCACTCCGTGCGGACTTCCTCCGCGCGGACTTGCCGTCCCATGAGGGAAAGGCTAAATCCGGACGGAATCGGCCCGGACGGAGACCGAGCAATCCGTACTAAGACACCTGCACCGATCCTGGCTGTGCACGTCCTGGGCCCTGGATCGGTGTGTGTGTGTGTGTGCGAACTCCTGGCTTGGCCAGGGAGGCACATACACCGACCCCATTGGGCCAAACATACGTAGAAGACAGACACATACGCACACACGCACACAAGCATATAGATATACAAACATACAAACCTACAAGCATACAAACATACAAACATACAAACATACAAACATACATAAATAAATACATACATACATACATACATACATACATACATACATATATACATACCTACCTACCTACCTACCTACCTACCTACCTACATACATACATACATACATACATACGTGCATACATACATACATATATACATGCATACATACATACGTACGTATGTACGTACATACATGCATACATATATATATATACACATGTATATATATATATATATATATATATATATGTACATGTGTACATGCATAAAAACATACATACATACGTACATACCTTACATTACATTATATACCTGCATGTATACATGCATACATATATACATGTATACCTACATACATACATACATACATGCATACATGCATGCATACATGCATGCATGCATGCATGCATGCATACATGCATACATATATATATATACATACATACATACATACATACATACATACATACATACATACGTGCATGCATACATACATACATACATATACATACATATATACACACATGCATATATGCATACACACGCCGCCTACATACATGCATACATACATGCATACATACGTACATACATACATACACGCATGCATACATACATACATACATACATACATACATGCACGCATGCATACATACCATAATTATAGCTATGCGAATGTATAGAAAAACGCGCGCTTCGCGCGCTTAGGTTCTAGTCACAGCTGCGCCACGTTTTACGGCGCTCGCTTTCGCTCGTCTGATCGGCGACATTGCGAAGTCCGCTGCATGCGGGCGTTTGAAAGTCTCCATCCGCCTCGGACCCCCCCCCCCTCCCCCTCACTCGTCATCGTCCTTCTCCTCATCCTCCTCCCCCTCGTCCTCCTCCTCCCCGTGCTCCTACTCCTGTTCCTGCTCTCCCTCATCATTCCCTCTTCCTCCTCCTCCTCCTCCTTCTCCTCCTCCTCCTTCTCCTCCTCCTCCTCCTCCTCGTGTCTTCATCCTCTTCCTTCTCCTCTGTCCCATTTCCTGCGACTCCTCCCCCTCCTCCGTTTACAGTTGCTCCTCTTTCTACCGCCTCCTCTTCCTCGTCCTATTCTTCCTCCTCCTCCTCATCATCATCAGCAACATCAGCATCAGCATCATCAGCGTCAGCATCATCATCCGCATAATCATCATCATCATCATCATCATCATCATCATCATCATCAGCATCATCCTCATCAGCATCATCAGCATCATCATCATCAGCATCAGCATCATCATCATCATCAGCAGCATCATCATCATCATCGTCACCATCAGCATCACCATCATCATCCTCATCCTCATCCTCAGCCTCATCATCATCCTCATCCTCATCATCATCCTCATCATCATCATCATCATCATCATCATCATCATCATCGTCATCAGCATCGTCATCATCATCATCATCATCATCCTCATCATCATCATCATCATCATCATCATCATCATCATCATCATCATAATCATCTCCTCATCCGCATCCTCCTTCTCCTTCTCCTTCTCCCGAATGTTCCCAGAGAGAACTCCGCGTCCATATGGGCAGCTGTTCGCCACCGCCCTGGCAAGGATCGTGGCCCAAAGGGAGCTTCACATACGGCCGCAGAGAGAAGGCTCGTTCGCATGGCGTCTTCACGCCCATTTCGGCACACCCCTCACACGGATCCCGCCCACAAGGAGCTCCACCGACGGCTCCAACAGGAGGGATCACATGGCGTCCCTCGGCATATTTCGGCACACCCCTGACGCGGATCGTACCCCGCAAAGCTCGCGCGGCGGCCACACCCCTTCACGCGGATCGCGTCCCACAGGGAGCTCAGCGTGCATGCGCGCGCTAGCTCCGCAGCGACCCTACCCCGCGGCGCGCAATATTTGATGAGAGAGCCGCGCCCTGCGCTATACGCAGCTGCATAGGGGTGGACCCTTCGCCAGGCCAAGTGATCTCTCTTTTCTCCTACATGCACACATGCATGAACACAGACATACAATCGTGCATGCATGCATGCATACATGCGTACGTACATACATACACATGCATGCATACATACATATATACATACCTACATACATACATACCTACATGCATGCATGCATACATACATACCTACTTACCTACCTATCTACCGACCTTCCTACCTATATATATATATATATATATATATACGCATATACATACATACATACATACATACATACATACATACATACATACATACATACATACATACGTACGTACATATATACGTACATACATGTATACCTACATACATACATACATACATACATACATACATACATACATACATGCATGCATACATACATACATACATACATACATACATACATACATACATACATACATACATACATACATACATACACACATACATGCATACATACATACATACATACACACGTACCTACATACATGCATACATACATCTATATACATACATACATACATACATACATACATACATACATGCATGCATGCATGCATGCATACATACATACATACATACATGTATACATACATACATACATACATACATACATACATACATATATACATACATACATGCATACATACATACATTACATTACATTATATACCTACATGCATACATGCATACATATATACATACATACATACAAACAAACATACATACATACATACATACGTACATACATACATACATACATGCATACATACATATGTACATACATACACACATACATACATACATACGTACATACATACATACATGCATGCATACATACATACACACATACATACTTTACATACCTACATACATGCATACATACATACATACATACGTACATACATACATACATACATACATACATACATACATACATGCATGCATGCATGCATACATACATACATACATGCACGCATATATACATGCATACATACATACATACATACAGACAGACAGACATACATACATACACACATACACACATACATACACATAAAAACAAAACCTGTGCCGCTCAGGCGGCGTCCCAGGAACAGGCCCAGGTTGTGGACCAGAGGCCTCTCGCAGATGTATACGAAAGTTTCTTGGGAAGTCTCTCAGAGGCCCGTTTGGGGCATCTTGGGGGTCTCCTGGGTGCTTCTGGGTGCCTCCTGGGGCCTCTTCGAGGCCTCTTGAGGGCCCCTTTAGGGCCTCTTGGGGACTCTTGGGAGCCTCTTGAGGCCTCCTGGGAGCCTCTTGGGTGGTTTTGCCCCTCTGAGACCCCTCTTGGGCCGTCGTGTAGCTCTCTTGGGCCATCTTGGGTGCCTCCTGGGCCGTCTTGGGCCTTTCTTGGGCCGTCCTGGAGCTCTCTTAAGGGCCTCCTGGGCCGTCTTGGGAGCCTCGTGGGCCGTCGTGGACGCTGTGAAAGCCCAAGAAGCGAATATGCTAAAAATAAACGGTTTCCCAATGGAATGGGACGGTTTTTGCTTCTTGGGGCCCTCTTGGGGCACCTCCTGGGGGGCCTCTTGGGGCGTCTTGGGCTGCCTTGGGGCTGTCGCGATGTCAAGTGGAGCCGTCTTGGAGCTCTCATGATGCGCTTTGGGGGGCCTTGATGGCCAGTCGCAGCCTATCTTGGGTGGTCTTGGAAGGTTCCTGGGCTTTCTGGGACCTCAGGGGTCCGCCCGGAGAGCGCCCCGGGGCAGGGGGACGCCGGCAGGGGCTTGAGGAAACCTGTCTGCGTCTTGAGGACACCTGTCGGCGTCAGGAAGAAACTCGATTATGTTCAGGATGATTCAGACGACGCCGACGACAGCCAGTGGAAGTTACGGCCCTGGGGCCCCGGGGCCAGGATCTCCCATATGTGTGTATATATATATATACAGGGCAGCACACGGCAACTCATCGGTGGTCCAGGGCGTGCCAGCTTTGTTGGCCTCCACTGGCTCCTCCCCGCCACCTGCACGTCTCGCGTGGCACAAGACGCGCCCCGAGAATCCGCCAAGGATGCCCAGGATGGCCCTGAGGGAAATAGGCCCGAGGCGGCCCAAGAGGCCTCCAACACGGCCACGAGACCCCAGAGGCGTCCAAGACGGCTCCCAAGCCACATTGTTTTCGCCACGGCTCACCATTCGGGAAATGGGGACCGTAAATGCGTGTCGCAGGCCGACCATCTTTTTTCTTCAGCAGAGCTCGCGGAAGGAGCGACACCCATGCACGGGGCTCGTGTCTTGAGCCCCCATGCCAAGGAGACGCGTCCTCCAGCACTTTGCGAGCGATGGCAACGATGCGCGATGGGAAGATATCTGGGCGAGAGCAAAAGAATACTATTCGAAAACGGAGCCAAAGCTACTGCTGTCGAGGCGGTTTGGCTTGATCGGCAGGAAACGAGTCCGCTCCGCGAATTCGCGGAAGAGAGTCCGCTCCGCGAATACGCCTTGGCCGCTTTGGACGGACTGTGCGCGGCTGTGCGACAAGAGAATATTATGATAAAAAGGCGCATATCAGCGTGAGTAGAATGAAACGCTGCCTTTCTCTCGTCACCCTTCCAGCTGTCTTATTGCCCACGGGCAGCAGCAGCCGCAACGATGACGTGCTAAATCTCAACAGCAAACGTACATGTCTCGGGCTGCGGGTCGGGGAGCTAGCTGGACAGGATCGACACCAATATGTATAGCAGCCACAGGCACACGAACAGGGCGGAGGTAAGGTACTTCGAGTTCAGCGGGCCGCCAAGCTCGCACCCAAGGAACCGCCGCCGTAGGCATATGACAACAAGAGCTATCGTGGCACAGACCGAGTAGGTCCCGACGCTGGATGCGAGGCCGCCGGCAGGGACCACGAAAGTCCCAGGGTACTTGGTCTTGATGTCCGGGTGACTGTCATACCACCCGATCAGTTGCCCACGCTGCACCCAAGGGTCCGACGGGTCGTCCGCGTCAGGGACCCCCTTTATGGCCCAGTAGAAGGACCCGAGCATCCAAGGCAGGCCTAGTCCCAAGAAGACGTTCACAGAGTTGCTCCCTGTGACGTTCACAATGCTGGCATCGGCCGTCTTGTCCTGTATGGCCGCCGTCCTGGAGGCAAAGGTGTCGGGCAGCGAGGTGCCGATGGCCACGATGGTGATCGCAGTGACGCTGTCATCCATTCCGATGACGCAACCGAGCATCGTGGCAAGGTCGCCAATGAAGGCAGTCAGGAGGCCGATGAACACCAAGGCAATAGCAAAAGCCAGCCATCCTCCAAAGTACGACGGCGGCGGCACGCAGGCGCACATGAGCTTCCAAGGGAATATGATCACGTGGCAGAACCACGACGCGTAACTCTCCGAGGACTCGCTGTCTAGGCTTCCGTCTACGTACAACAGCTCGGCGAACTGCTCCCGCCAGTGCTGCCTGCCCAAGGCCATCTGGTCCTCGTTGAAGGAGATCCCGGTCATGACTTTGGCCACAACGCCCTGGTTTTCGCTGTTGCCTTCAATGTTCACGGTGCATATGCACTTGTCGGCCCCGCCATCGGTCAGCTCGTCGAAGCACGCGCCGCCGTCGGGACTGTCCAGGATTAACCGGAACGTCTCGGTCATCTCGTGGCGTCCCTTGGCCATGATGCGCACGCGCACGTTCATGCTGGCCACCCCGTGCGACATTACCAGCTTGGTGCTAATTTGTTCAAAATCGCGCCCCCCAATGGCGGAGTCGTCCTCGGTGTAAAACACACAAGATACAATGCCCTTTGCCCCCTTGCTCCGCTTGACCTCGACGGTCAGGAAGGTGTCCTCGTGAGACTCCTGGACGGTCAAACAATCATGCGCAAACGACAGGATTCCTGGATGGTCGTCGTCAATAATGAGCACCGACGCAGTGTGAGAGGCTCCCAACACTGCCTCGCTTTCATCGTCTTCCCTCAACTCAAGAAAAACAAAGAACTCCTCTAGGCCCTCTTCTTGATCGTCGTCAATGATCTTCACTGGAACTTGCTTCTCCGTCTCGTGGGGCTCGAATGTCAAGGTCCTATCAACAGCGACGTAGTCTGCGCCAGCGGTGGCCCCGCCGTCCCGCGTCTTGATGTCGATCAGCGTGCGGCGGCTGGTATCGCCAGTCCTCGTCACAGCGAGGACAACCTGGGAGTCGGACTCGTAACAGCGGTGTTTTTCGCTTGCGAACGCCACCGAAGGTCCTGCATGCTTCCGAGGTCTGGCACGTGGTATCTGACAGGCCCTCCTCTTCAAGGACTCTCGTTCTGAAGCAGCATCCGTGCCATTCGTGAACTGGCGGGTGGCCTGCACCCGCCGCACGGCCCTACTGGCGGGAGGGGGGAACTCGTACTTCAAGAGATCCTTCTCGAAACCCCTGCAACCCTCCCCGTACTTCTGGCGCACCACCAGCAACATCTCGTTGATTTCCTCGGGCGTGCTCTGCGGGGTGAAGTACCGCCTGTCTGGCCTGTCCTGGCTGGGCAGCTTGAGGAGCCTGTTGAAAAAGCCTGTGTCGGCGAGCCAAGCGATCACACAGAGTATTGGGAAGAAGAGGAAAGTCAGGAGCCCTTCCCACCACTCTACCACGTGCGGGGAGGATATGATCAATATGACGAGTAGCCACACATACGCCATGACCGAGATGACAGCGGTGATATAGAACACCGGCAGCTCCTTCACCTTCCTCTCCTCGCCGTCCGGGACGCAGGACACCACCACCGCGATGATCACGAGGAGATTGAAAGCCGCGCTGCCAACAATAGTAGATGGGCCAAGCTCGCCAGCATGCATTGAATTCTGGAACAGCTCCAACACACTGAGCAATATCTCTGGGGCGCTGGAGCCCAGGGCCATGAGCGTGAGGTTCGCCACCGTGGGATTCCACCAGTCCACGGTCCTCCACCGCTTCGTCACAGGGTCCATGTGCGAGACCTTCCGAGACGTGATTTTCTCGATCGCCGACATGAACGCGTCGGCGAGGAGCATGACGCCGACGAAGCAGTACAGCAGGCCGGCGAAGTACACGACGCTCTGAAAGCCGTCCCCCCAGGCGGCCTCGAAATTGCCCCCGATCGGCAGGAGCAGCCCGCCGTCCGACCCGTCGCCGCCGCCCACCACCGAGGTGCCGCCGTTGCAGATCGCGGGCGCCGAGGCCTTCTGGCCCATGGCCGCCGCCCGCGCCCGCCGAACCCGCCCCCTCGCGCAATCCTGGTGGGGAGCGCGGGCTCGGCGGCTCCACACCTCATGGGCCCATGGGCCGGCTGGCTGCGGGGACGACCCGGCACGGCCGCACCTCACGAGCGACAAGCGCGTCCATGTGTTACGCTCTCCAGATAGGCTTGCCCAGCAGGAGCTCTAGCTCAAGCCCTACGAATTGGTCCGTTGCCCCCCCCAATTCCTATGCCCCCCAAAAAAATCCCTATGGCCCCTGACGCAGCTTCTGGGCCGCACGGTCCAGCACGGTACAGTACAGTGGACTGGAGTGCGCGCGTGTGGAAAACAGGATCGTCCTCATCGTCATCATAATCGTCATCAGCACCATCATCACCCACTATCAATTTGGAGTCAACGCTGGCTGATGCGTGTTGCGTTGGCTTTTGTGGAAGCCCATCTGAATCAAGTCGGCGGGGTAGCGGCAGGTAATGGCGGCTGGCGTCACGCCGCCCCGCACACCAAGCGCCCACCGATCACCCCCTATGCGCCGCTAGTGTCCGCTCAGCGCCCCAAAAAAACACAGAACTCTCGGTGAAATCCAGGACTCCCTATCTATATATATATATATATGTTTTTTTTTTTTTTTTTTAAAAAAAAAAAAAAAAAAAAAAAAAAAAAAAAAAAAAAAAAAAAAAAAAAAAAAAAAAAAAAAAAAAAAAAAAAAAAAAAAAAAAAGTATCCCGGCAAAGCAACCTAACAGCGATGTGTAGAAGCATATCTGAAAGCATTCCCCTTAAGATTCAGATGAAAATCCAGTTGTAGAATTCTGCTGTTCTCGCAGTCGTAGTCGCATTCGCGATGACAGTCGCAGCGGCAACGGCAGTCGCAGTCACAGCCTCAGCCTCAGCCTGCCTCAGCCTCAGCCTCAGCCTGCCTCAGCCTCAGCCTGCCTCAGCCTCAGCCTCAGCCTGCTTCAGCCTCAGCCTCAGTCTGCCTTCAGCCTCGGCCTCAGCCTGCCTCAGCCTCAGCCTGCATCAGCCTCAGCCTCAGCCTCAGCCTGCCTCAGCATCAGCCTGCCTCAGCCTCAGCCTCAGCCTGCCTCAGCCTCAGCCTCAGCCTCAGCCTCAGCCTCAGCCTTCAGCCTCAGCCTCAGTCTGCCGTCGGCCTCGGCCTCAGCCTCAGCCTCAGCCTCAGCCTCAGCCTGCATCAGCCTCAGCCTCAGCCTCAGCCTGCCTCAGCCATCAGCCTGCCTCAGCCTCAGCCTCAGCCTGCCTCAGCATTCAAAATGTGGCCCAGGAATGGAGTTCTGGGAACTCGAAGAACACGAAGTGGCCTACAGTTGGCTCCGGGCATTCAAAATCATGCCCAGGAATGGAGTTCTGGGAACTTGAAGAGCACGAAGTGGCCTACAGTTGGCTCCGGGCATCCAAAATGTGGCCCGGGAATGGAGTTCTGGGAACTCGAAGACCACGAAGTGGCCTACAGTTGGCTCCGGGTATTCAAAATGTGGCCCGGGAATGGAGTTCTGGGAAGTCGAAGAGCACGAAGTGGCCTACAGTTGGCTCCGGGCATCCAAAATGTGGCCCGGGAATGGAGTTCTGGGAGCACCAAGAGCGATTTTGCGAGGATGTCCCAAGCGATTTCGGCTTCGACGGCAGCCTCCCCGGGTCGCGCCCATACCCCCCTGAGGAGTCATGATGCTCTCTTGTGAGACCACTAGAAACCTATCAGCAAGAGCTGTTAGGTAAAAATGGTCACGCAAATGTTCACGCCCTGGCGGTCTGGGCTCCGGAGCGCGGTCCCGCGGGCGCGCTGTCGCACGGCCGCGCTCCGCGCGAGGCACCCCGCAGGGGGCTGGGAGGCTGCGGCGGCGGCACCCGCCAGAGGGCCTCGGAGAAGACACCCAGGAGCTGAAGCGCGAGCCTTTGGCAGATGATGCTCTTCTCGCGAGGTCAGCGAAGAGAGGTGCGCCCGGCACGAGACAGGCAAGCACGGAGCGGCGACTCGCTTGGGACACCGAGCCCCTGCAAGCAGGTGGCGGTTAGGCAGCGCCGAGATCAGAGCGACGCACCAGAACGACACCCTGCGCGGCCGCACGTATGGGAATCTTTCAAGCTGCATGCATACATGCATGCACGCATGCATGCAGATGCACATGCATATGCACTGCAACGCAATGAGGTGCAGCGCACGGGGTGCTTTTGGATAGCACGACAGAGCGTTGCATGGCACAGCCAGGTGCGCGGGGAGTCGGCGCCAAGGTCGCGGGGAATCGGCTTCACGGGCGCCGCTAGACAGCGTCCTTGCACAGAACAGAACAAGCAAGACCCCGTCAGGCAAGCCTGATTTCAGAATGACCCTCGGCAAGCGCCAAATTGACATCGTAGCCAGGAAACAAAATCACACGCAGCGAAACCAAGTGCAGCAGACGCAATTTTCCTTGCAATGGGAGCGCGCGTAAGTTCAGCTGGCTCAAAGAAAGATCACCCAACGTGCCCCCTGGTGCGTAGTGGAGCGGAGTGCTGCACGTGCTGTCTCGCTGGGCTTTTGCAATCGAAGGACCCGGCAGCCCCTACCAATACCCCGAGAGGCACCCGAGACGCCCCGAGAGGCCTCCGAGACGCCCTCCAGAGAGCCCCCTGAGCGGGCCGAAGAGGCTGAAAAGGCTGGGTATTCAATCGCTTCGAATGTTTCCATCTTCTGCACAAGAAAAGCAAGGCCCCCCCCCAACCGGGGAAACCTCGGCCCCAGCCGGCCGACCCACCCGCCTGCATTGGGATGGGTGCCGCGCTGGGTGCCGTCTCCTGCAGGTCTCGCGGCGCACATCCCGCATCGATAGGCGGGACACGCTGGGAGAGCTCACCTGCCCTGCCCCAGTGAGGGGTGGGACGGTTCTGACGATGATGCCATGTGGGCGACGAAGAGAAGCGGGTCTTGCGCGAGATGGTGTAGCGACCTTCCTTACGCGGCGGCTTATGCAGACCGCCAGCGCGGCAGGCCACAATGGAAGCGAGGGCGCTCGCGCGCGACGTTACGCGGGCAGCTCGCGCGCCGACGCGAAGACGGCCCCGTGTTCTGCCGTCGCCCGTGTGTCGCCCCAAGAAGCCGCGAGAGCCCCAAAGATGCCTCCGAGACTTCCCCCCCCAAACGGCCCCACCGGGAGGCCACGAGAGTCGACCCCTGGGATCCCCGCGGGACGGCCCCGAAGCCTCCCCGAAAGAGGGGGGGGCTCCGCGAAGGCACAGGGCCAGCTCGGGACGCCGCCCAAGGCGCCCGCTGGCCCGCCGGATGGCCCTACGGCAAGCCCGTGTCGTGCCAACCTCGGCGTTGGTCTCTGGCACAGCATGGATCGTTCAACGATCGGCGGCTTTTCGAGCGCAAGGCCCTTCGGCACCACTGGCCCGTTCGGGGCCTCCAGCGACGCTCAACCTCGAAGGCCTGTGGCAGGGCCGCCGCCGCGAGGACATGACACGAGCCTGCCGCACGGCAGTCCCAAACAGCCTGTGGACCACCACCACCACCACCACCACCACCACCCCGACAAAGAGCCGCATAGTCCGCCGGCATGGCCCGAAGGCCCCCAGAGCCAGCTCCCAAGAGGCCAACAGGAGATCCCAGGGAGCCCTCCATCGAGCTCCTGGGAGGCCTCGAAGGCCCGGTGTTGACACATCACGGTCATCGAGGCTATCGGGAAGTGAGCTGTCACGCTCTGCACCGAGCCTGCGAAGAAGCGTGTCCCTGCGGCCTTGGAGAACTCATCGACGAGAAGTTGCCGCGCGCGACGGCCTTCTGGACGGCTCCCGAAAAGTCGCCACACGCAGGCCCCGATTGACCGATTGTCCACGTCCCTCCTTCTCCCTCCTCCTCCTCCTCCTCCTCCTCCACCTCCTCCATCCTCCTCCTCTCCTCCTCCTCCTCCCTTCCCTCCTCCCCTCCTCCTCCTCCTCCTCCTCCTCCTCCTCCTCCTTCCTCCTCCTCCTCCTCCTCCTTCTCCCCCCCCTCCACCTCCTCCTCCTCCTCCTCCTCCTCCTCCTCCTCCGCCTCCTCCTCCCTCCTCCTCCTCCGCCTCCCCTCCTCCCTCCCTCCTCCTCCCTCCTACCCACTCAGCCTCACGCTCACCGCTGGCTTTACCATGCCAGCTGCTCCTAGCCTGGCATCAAGACTCAACCACAAAGAGACCGCTCGGCCCGAGATATCATGTTTTCAGTGCGACGGCCTTGTCCGTAAGTCTGCCTCGGCACGGCGTGCTACATATGTCGCACGCAAACTGCCTGTGCTGTGTATAGAGCTGCGTGCGGCAAGAAGGGGAAGGATGTACAAACGTGTGTGCTTCCTCTCCCCACGAAACACGACGCCAACTTCTCCCCGGTGGCACACGCATCAAGGCAACTCCAAAACCGTCGACTTCAGGCGGCCGTGCGCGAGCGCGGAGGGACCTCGGCAGACAAGCCAGAGCCCCGTGTGGTTTTTCGGATGGCGAACGCACAACTGCACCGATCCCGGCAGCCCTCCTTCTGTGCCCAGGATCGGTGCGTGCGCCCCCGTGGCCTGGGCAAGCAGGCAGGCACGCCGATCCTGGGCCCGGGACTGGCGAGTGGGGGCGCCTACGGGAAAAGCCCCCGCCTAAGCTCACCCTTTCGGGGGAACTTGGGCGGGAGCGATCCGCGCAGGGGCGGCAGTCGAATCCCCTCGGGCAATCGACCGCGGCAGCTTCCCCCCCGAGCAACGCCCCCGGCCGATGCTCAGTGGAGGTGAAGAGAGGACAGGCGCAGGTGGAGAGCAGATCCCCTCCGATAACTCCTCCCTTTGGGGGCCCCGAAGGCGCCCGATCCAAGGAGCACGCCCCTCCAAATCCTGGGCAGCGCCTCCCGTCCCGCAAGGGCGCTCAGGCGCCCGACCGAGTCCCACTCATCCTCCCCCTCCCCCTCCTCCTCCTCCTCCTCCTCCTCCTCCTCCTCCTCCTCCTCCTCCTCCTCCTCCTCCTCCTCCTCCTCCTCATCATCAGCAGCAGCAGCAGCAGCAGCAGCAGCATCAGCATCAGCATCAGCATCACATAGCATCAGCATCAGCATCAGCATCAGCATCAGCATCACATCATCATCATCATCATCATCACCACCACCACCCACCACCACCACCACCACCAGCAGCAGCAGCAGCAGCAGCATCATCATCATCAACATCATCATCATCATCACCACCACCACCACATCTCATC